TATATATATATATATATATATATATATATATATATATATATATATATATATATATATATATATATATATATACACACATATATATAAATAAACATAATAAATTCTTTAAAATAGAAATAAAACAATCGATTACCTTTGTTTCTTAAAAATCAATAACATGTTATCAGTCCAATAAACGGAAATTCTTTATCGCTTAACATCCTTAATTGTGATTGCGAAGCTTCTATCCTACACTAAGCGCAGAATTTGAGTCATCTTGGGCTGGGATGGTAGACGGTCCAGTTTCAGCCAATCAGGCATTTTCTTCAGGTAGGGGGCTGACGCACGAGACATGACAGTCAAGTGCGAACCTATCAAAACCCAAACTCTCACTTAGCTTTCAATGTCGTCATTAGATGACCTGGTATCTTTCAAGCATGTATTTGCATACACATTTCAACCGAAATGGTCATTTGTTTTTTTTTTTGCTTGTTTTTTTGTTGTTGTTTTTAAATGAGTTAAAAATAAATCGACTATCTCTAACGTCATTTCTTGATTTCTATATCGCGGACCGGACTCCATGGTGTACACCTTTCCTGGCACAGGTAGCCATGAATAATCAATGTGTTTGTATGAGCTGCTCCATGCACAATTATTTAGTGAAAACAGCAGCTGCTCCAAGCACCATTATTTAGTGGAAACAGCAGCTGCGACATGCACACTTATTTATTGGAGACAACAGCTGCTACATGAACACTTAGTTATTTTAGTGGAGACAGCAGCTGCTACATGCACACTTATTTAGTGGAGACAGCAGCTGCTACATGCACACTTATTTAGTGGAAACAGCAGCTGCTACATGCACACTTATTTATTTTAGTGGAGACAGCAGCTGCTACATGCACACATATTTAGTGGAGACAGCAGCTGCTACATGCACACTTATTTAGTGGAGACAGCAGCTGCTACATGCACACTTATTTAGTGGAAACAGCAGCTGCTACATGCACACTTATTTAGTGGAGACAGCAGCTGCTACATGCACACTTATTTAGTGGAGACAGCAGCTGCTACATGCACACTTATTTAGTGGAGACAGCAGCTGCTACATGCACACTTATTTAGTGGAGACAGCAGCTGCTACATGCACACTTATTTAGTGGAGACAGCAGCTGCTACATGCACACTTATTTAGTGGAGACAGCAGCTGCTACATGCACACTTATTTAGTGGAGACAGCAGCTGCTACATGCACACTTATTTAGTGGAGACAGCAGCTGCTACATGCACACTTATTTAGTGGAGACAGCAGCTGCTACATGCACACTTATTTAGTGGAGACAGCAGCTGCTACATGCACACTTATTTAGTGGAGACAGCAGCTGCTACATGCACACTTATTTAGTGGAGACAGCAGCTGCTACATGCACACTTATTTAGTGGAGACAGCAGCTGCTACATGCACACTTATTTAGTGGAGACAGCAGCTGCTACATGCACACTTATTTAGTGGAGACAGCAGCTGCTACATGCACACTTATTTAGTGGAGACAGCAGCTGCTACATGCACACTTATTTAGTGGAGACAGCAGCTGCTACATGCACACTTATTTAGTGGAGACAGCAGCTGCTACATGCACACTTATTTAGTGGAGACAGCAGCTGCTACATGCACACTTATTTAGTGGAGACAGCAGCTGCTACATGCACACTTATTTAGTGGAGACAGCAGCTGCTACATGCACACTTATTTATTTTAGTGGAGACAGCAGCTGCTACATGCTCACATATTTAGTGGAGACAGCAGCTGCTACATGCACACTTATTTAGTGGAGACAGCAGCTGCTACATGCACACTTATTTAGTGGAGACAGCAGCTGCTACATGCACATTTTTTTTTATTTTAGTGGAGACAGCAGCTGCTACATGCACACTTATTTAGTGGAGACTGCAGCTGCTACATGCACACTTATTTATTTTAGTGGAGACAGCAGCTGCTACATGCACACTTATTTAGTGGAAACAACAGCTGCTACATGCACACTTATTTAGAGGAAACATTAGCTGCTACATGCACACTTATTTAGTGGAAACAGCAGCTGCTACATGCATACTTATTTAGTGGAGACAGCAGCTGCTACATGCACACTTATTTAGTGGAGACAGCAGCTGCTACATGCACACTTATTTATTTTAGTGGAGACAGCAGCTGCTACATGCACGCATATTTAGTGGAGACAGCAGCTGCTACATGCACACTTATTTAGTGGAGACAGCAGCTGCTACATGCACACTTATTTAGTGGAGACAGCAGCTGCTACATGCACACTTATTTAGTGGAAACAGCAGCTGCTACATGCACACTTATTTAGTGGAAACAGCTGCTGCTTCCAAAATTTCAACTTAGAAACTTTCAACATTGTATTTAAAGCTACAACTTATAATTTTAATTTGTAGGAGAAAGAAGAAGTAAAACGAAGTAGATTTGTTTAGTTTAAAAAACATTAATCAGTTTGACTGTCAGCATCGTTCACCACCAGTCAAAAACAGGACAATGTGATTGTACCTTATCCCAGTAGTGTACGTTTTCTTCTATGAGTGTATATACTGTCTTTTTTATTGTTTTATGAGACTACAATAAATTGCATTAATTTACTGGTACAATCTGTTGTTGTTTTTTTAAATGAAAAGATTGATTGTTGCAGATAAGGCGTGGGATTGTGACCCACCTGTATAGTGACCCACCTGTATTGCTGTTACACATTGTAGAGTGGATTTCATGGGAATTCCCCCATTGCGTTCATTTTTTAAATATATTTTTTTCCAATTAATTTACCGTTTGTAAAACATGTCTGTGCCATTCTGTTGTGCTGTTCTTCCTATGACTGAAATCAGGCAGGCTGGATTTGCCGAGTGGATTAAACTGATTCTATCCCAATCTTGTGTGCACTGGAGTTCAAACCCCAGCCTAGACCACCACCCCGGGAAGATGAGACTCGCTATATATATATGTATATATATATATATATATTATATATATATTGTGCATACATATGATTTATCGCACGATAAACATGTGTTTGACTGTGTCAGGAAATTATGACCAAAGATCTTCGTTACCCTAAGTCTAGACACGATGAAGATCTTTGTTGCCTTCAAACTAGACACGATGAAGATCTTCTTTGCCATCAGACTAGACACTATTTAGATATTCGTTACCACCAGTCTACATGCGATGAAGATCTTCGTTACCCTCAGCCTAGACACTCAGTGTAGACACAATCAAGATCTTCGTTACCCTATGACTAGACACGCTGAAGATCTTCGTTACCCTCAGTCTAAACACGATGAAGATCTTCTCGTTACCCTCATTCTAGACACGAAAGATCTTGCTTACCCCCATGCTAGGCATGATAAAGATCTTCGTTACCCCCAGGCTAGACACGATGAAGATCTTCGTTAACCCCAGCCTAGACACGATGAAGATCTCCGTTACCCCCAGGGCTAGACACGATGAAGATCTTCGTTACCCCCAGGCTAGACACGATGAAGATCTTCGTTACCCCCAGGCTAGAAGCGATGAAGATCTTCGTTGCCCCCAGGCTAGGCACGATGAAGATCTTCGTTACCCCCAGGCTAGGCACGATGCGGGCCTAGTTTGTGTTGAAGTTGCTTTGATCTGTCTGCAATGCATTGTCACATGGTACGTGAAAGAATTTGTAAGCAACCAGCAAGCATCAAATCGAAGTATTACACTTACACACTAGAGGCATGAAATATGCGATCAAAAGCCAAAGGGACGGAGACATATTAAGACACATTTAGACACCTTCTGGCGGTGATGTTGTCACGTGACCCGCCACAGTTTAGCTTTGCTGTGTTATTTGTTTTTAAACGTCTGTCCTCTGAACTGATGGGAAGTTGTGTGAATGTCCTCTAAGCTGATGGGAAGTTGTGTGAATGTCCTCTAAGCTGATGGGAAGTTGTGTGAATGTCCTCTAAGCTGATGGGAAGTTGTGTGAATGTCCTCTATGCTGATGGGAAGTTGTGTGGATGTCCTCTGAACTGATGGGAAGTTGTGTGAATGTCCCCTGAGCTGATGGGAAGTTGTGTGGATGTCCTCTAAGCTGATGGGAAGTTGTATGAATGTCCTCTAAGCTGATGGGAAGTTGTGTGGATGTCCTCTGAGCTGATGGGAAGTTGTGTGAGCTCATGGCGATGAATTTCTAATGAGCTGATTGCGATGAATTTCTATTGAGCTGATCGCTATGATTGTCCAATGAGCTGATGGTTATAATTTTCCACTGAGCTGATGGCTATTAATGTCCTATGAGCTGATTGCTATGATTGTCCAATGAGCTGATGGCTATAATTATCCAATGAGCTGAAGGCTATGAATGTCCAATTAGCTGATGGCTATGAATGTCCTATGAGCTGATCGCTATGATTGTCCAATGAGCTAATGGCTATAATTTTCCAATGAGCTGAAGGCTATGAATGTCCAATGAGCTGATGGCTATGAATGTCCAATGAGCTGATCGCTATGATTGTCCAATGAGCTGATGGCTATAATTTTCCAATGAGCTGAAGGCTATGA